AACATAGGCTGACCAGTAAAAGCAATCGAAAGAAAAATAGTTCCACAAAAGCATTCGAAAAGTTAAGCGAAGAATGGAATTAGTTCCATGACGTCATTAAATGACGTTATGGAAGACTCAAAGTGTCATAACGAGGAATTTAATAAAGTTTGTATTAAAGGGAAATATTAAAAATTAGAATTGCTAATAAAATAAACATCTGTGACGAGCTAAAATTAAAATATTAATTTTTCAAGTCCTTTTTCGCATTATTTCTTTCTTCGCGTCAATCGAAATTTCGAGGAATCAATATCTTTCGATAAATTGTGATTTTGTCTTATTCTTCGATATTCCTAAGAATTTTCTTCTTATCAATTGAATACGAAGGGAATGAGGGTGATTCGACAATATGTACGTGGCATAGCGATCATATTTGTGAAGTTTTCAACTAGTGGAACGTATAATATAGATTCTCCATTGGCATTTATGCAGAGATTATAGTGCGGTTTAGGTAAAGTCTCAAGTTAATGTTAATTAATTTAATATTAATTAGTATGCCAAAGAGCACATAGTTTTTCTTTAATAAGATTTCCCGAATATTCAGGCTGGTAGACAAAAATAAATAAATATACTGTTTAATAAATAAACGGGGCGTCTATATAGATGTCCACGAAAAATAACGTTTAAGTAATAAAAAGATAACATTCTGGTGGTCAGAGAAAGTTTTTCTGATTTTTTAAGAAATTAATTTAAGAAAAATACGTTGAAAACAGATCGATATTTTATTTTTAATAATTTATGTAAATTAAAGTTTCATTTTAAAAATGTGAATAAATGTTCTTTTTTTTAAAAAAAAAAAATTATTTTTTAGTAACAGTTAGATGGTGTTAATAATATCTGATCATGTCATCCACTGATGGTTTAAATTTTAATATTACTGCTTTTTTTTTTTTTTTTTTTTTTGACTGCGCAGGCATTCTGTAGATATTTTTGGTGCGTTTTTAGACAGAAAGTATTGGGATCTCGTGATTGCTGTGAGCCTAAAAAAGAATTCCGTCGTTTTAAACGACGTAGCGGCTTGGAGAGCCGAGTTCGAATTCTAGACGAATCCATTACATTCACTTACATGCTAATACCCTTGGGAAAGCTATGAATCCTCTTCTCCTCCTCCCAAGCTATGGGTAAATACCAGGACAGACCTTGGATGGCAACTGGTCTACCGCAGAAAGAAATGGCAACCTATCGCGGGAAAAAAATCTGCCTCGTCAGTCATGTATCGAAGAATGCATGATCGCCTACGCGTGTATCAAGCATGGCACACAACTGATGTTTTTTATAATTTGAATATTTTTGAAATAAAGGGAATTTTTTGAAAATTATTAAGAACTTGAGACAAGTTCTGTCTTAAAACCAGTTCATGATTCATTGATTGGTAAGAAGAAGGAATTTTTATATTCCAAATAAAATTAGTCTACGGCTAAATAAAAATGTCGCTACTTAGTTTGTAGCTTCTCCTAAGGAGAAAAAGATATATTTTATGAAAATTTGATTTGAAAAAGTTTTTAGCTTTTGAAGTTGTCACATATTGTTGACATAAATTTAAGATTTTTAATCCAGCTATCTGATATTATACATAGATGCCTATATTTCCACAAAGAACAAGAAAGTTACAGATATGTTTTTACTTTTGAAAATATGAATAACAGACAAAATGACTAACACCGAGCTGATACAGTTGACAGAGGAGGAGATACCAGAGATAAGAGTTATGCCAATCTTAGCAGTGTCGCAGAATATTGCGAAAGGAATTACCTTCAGTAAAAAAAAAAAAAAAAAAAAAAGAGGATTGAATACTTTTTATTCTTCAGTTATCCGGAGAAAAAGATGAAAATTGTATATTTCTTCATCTCAGAAAGAACTCAAATACGAAATTTGTTCTTTTTCTTTGAGGACTTTTTAAATTGTGAAGTCTAAAAAAAAATAAATGTATAAAATTATTATAAATTAAAGATGTATTAAATATCGCCCTCGTGGCTTGTGGAAAAAAAACCTTAGCGCATTGATACTCTATTATACTTTTTGAAAAAGTGTGTTGCGGACCCGGTAGCGTGCAGTGCTGGTTTATTAAAAAATGGCCTTGTGCCAGACACTACTTATGACTACCGAATCCACAAACAAAGTAAAAATATTGCGTGAGTGAACTTAGTGAGGGAAAGGGGTCATTCAACAAATGCATAATACAAGTAGATAGCCGGAATTAAACGACAAAATGAGTCTGGTTGAAAAACATATATGAAATTTTATTATATTTAAACAAGTAAATTGTCTCGTCAGTTGAGACCATCAGTGAAGTTACTGGATCTTAGAAATTAATGAAAAAATGTCGTGACAAGTAGTCACTGAAGGAATGTCTGTGTTCCGCGCCAAAATAGAAAACCAAGTTGGCTAAGGCGGGAAAAAGTTTCATCCGAAAGAAAGTTCTGGAAAAATGACTTGTTAAACGCAAGGTGTATGTGTACACAAATAGGAAAAGTACTCACTGTGAAGTTTGATAGTGTGAGTGTATGTAATATTTTTTTTTGGTACTGGTTCAAAGTAGTTAGAATGTTCAAAGGTGTATGAACAGATTATCAACTTTCATTGAGGAGAATTCAGAGTTGTTTGCATCAAGACGAGGTTGAGTCTTGGAATGGTGTGAGGGCGACCGTGTTGTAGAACTCTGGTAGTGAATAGAGGAAAGTTCGAAAGTTGTTCGCATCAAGACAAGAAGTTGGTCTTGGAAAAATATATTGACGACAGTGTCGTAGGAACTCGACATTTTCTAGTTGAAAACGGAGAAAAGGTTCAACAAGCTGTTGCATCAAGACGGGGATAAGTCTTAGAAAAATATATATTGCCGACGGTGTCGTAGGAACTCGACATTTTCTAGTTGAAAACGGAGAAGGTTCAACATGCGGGTTGCATCAAGACGAGAATGAGTCTTGGAAAAGTGTGAGGTCGGCATGTTGAAGTTTTGGTTAGTTAAGAATAAGATATTCCGGCCCGCGTATGGGTTAGGGGCACGGAATAAATGAGTTGTCTGTCTAGCTTGAAGATCGGGAAGCAACTGAGTTGGAAACGCTGGACGTCTGTGACGCCAGGAAAACGCGCGGGAAAAAATTCAAATTCTGATTTTAGACGTTATCAGGGGTAGCTAGTAAGCAACCTTCCTCACTCCAGCGATTACTGCTATGACTAGCTGAAAGTGTGAGGAAGGGGTGCAATACGCGCGCGCGCACACACGCACAATTGTGGAAGGAAGGGAGGAAAACTCGCGCGCGCGTAAAATGTAGGTGGAATTACTGTGCTATTCCACAAGTGTACATCTTTTTATAATTTTCTGCTATGTAAACACTTTTTTATTTTTTCATTTGTTACCTTTCAATTGCTTATGGACTTGTATGTCGACCATCCTTTATTTTTAATAACTTTTTTGAAATTGTGAATATTTGTCCGTTCTTTGTCTCAAGTATAATTCTTTTATTTTTTCCTGTGGTAACAAAACTTTTACTAGGGTTTTTCCCCTTTGAACGTAAATCAGATGGAAACCAATCAATTTAAAATGTTTACTCTAAATACTAATACCACATCTGGTCTGGTGCTCCTGCTATGTATTTAGAAAATTTTTGAAAAATCTATTTCTTTTTTACCTTGTATCCCTCATTCAGCCACTTTCCCACCGCCATTATGTGGCTTCCCTGTACCTTTTCTATAAATACTTTCATGGAATTTGTTCTGATGAAATTTCCTCTATGACATCTAGACTTTAGAATTTAAGCGCAATACTAGATTGACGGCAAGGACTTATCTTTTTTTACAGTTGAAATGAGTAAATGTAACTGTAAGTTCTATGCTAACAATTTCTTCTATCGTTATCTACTGTCTTCTTAATTCCTGTTCTTTTAATGTTCTTCTTAGTTAATAGTGTTTTCTTTTTTCTCATAATCTCTAACACTCGGTAACCCCTTGCATCTTAATGGCCATATAAATCGAAGGATAATGTCCACACACATGATACCCGTACTACTCAAATACAAAGATATTCGAAAAATTCTCTGTCCAGAATGATTGCTAATTCTGTACTCCATTGAATATGTAAGGGACAATGCCTAACCCGTTCAGTTGGCTTACCAACAGGCACAAAACACGTAAAATTTGTATCGCGGGATAGTGTTCACTGTGTATATGATCGTATGCATGTAAGAGTGTATTAATGCTCAATGAAAATACACAATGTATTATTATGAGGTCTGAGTTCTGTTAATACACCATTTATTTTGAAATCTACGCACATACTATACTTATCTGTATGAGATTTCTCTTGTAATATTGATTGGTTGATTCGTTTTTTATAGCTTTGCATCTTATTTAAAGCCAGAAATTATTTTTAGAATGTAAGATTTTTTTCGATTATAATGGTTTAATTTTACAAGTCTTACTAATTAACTCAGAGCTGGCGGGGAGGAGAGAAGAGGTGGATCCATATCTTTCCCAAGAGTATTGCGCGTAAGTAAATATAACGAATCCATCGGAAATTGGAACTTTGATTAAGAATTCCGAACCGTTATTCATCAAACCACCCGTGCATCCAGGCACTTTGTAGTTCAAAACGGTCACCCATTTAAGTACTAACCAGAATTAATGTTGCTTAACTTCAGTGATCGTACAGGAACTGGTGTTTCAACGTGATGTTACCGTAAGCCCAGCAATCCAAATATATATTTACGACCGTTACTAATATTCTATTATCTACAATATATACCGTTTGAATATGGTTGTTTCTGAAGCGAACCCTATCACCCTCTGTTTTTTTACCTATGTCACTGGTTTCGCTGTTCAACTTTGGCACAAGGTCATGTTCATGAAGTATCCAATGAACAACGAACCAATTGCCATTACATTGTGATACTAATGTTTAATATACTTAGATTATCAAAAAAAAAAAAAAAAAAAAAGGAATCTGATTGTTACATCGATTTATTTTATTGCTGAAACAACTTATTGGCAAAAGACGGTCGGATAAAAGCTATTGATGCGAAACTGAGCTCTTTACTCGAAGTCACTCGTTCTTTGCGAATTATGAAATCGTTCATAGCTTTGAGAATCATCTCAAATTTCATCTCCTTTCTGTACTGCCCGAAATTTGGAATGACAATCTCTGGTTTGACGCGAACGGGACGATCATCGCCACTAATTTCCCATCGGTAGTGTTTCGTTTCAGAATCTTTTTGTTTAGACTCTTCGTCAGATTCTTCTTCCTTTTCTTCAATTCCATCTTTCACTTCGGCGTTATCGCCACCGGCATTATCATAACCATCGGTGTCATCATCAAAAAAACCGTTTCGCTTTTTGAATTTGCTTCTATCTTTGCTATCTGTGGTTTCCAAAATGGATTTGTAACTGGTATCCTTTTTTAACTTTTTGCCGTCTATGCCTTTACCGGTTGTGCTTTTCCCAGTCAGGTCTTTGCTGACCATGATTTTTCCCACTATGTCTTTATCGGTCATGCTTTTTCTGGGCATATCTTTATTAATCGCGCCTTTGACAGTTTTGTCTTTTACAGCCTTGCCTTTGTCGGCCTTGCCTTTGTCGGCCATACCTTTGCCGGCCATGCCTATCTCGGCTGTGCCTTTGTCGGCTTTTCCTTTGCCAATCATACTTTTGCCGACTGGGGTGTCTTCTTTAACTCCGACAGTTCCTTTCTCTTGCTTTGATCTGCAGAAAAAAAAACTTCAGGATTTACACAGACCATATCACGACAAAGGTTAATTTGTTATTACTATTATAATTAAGTTCACTAAATCTTCAAAATTCTTGGTTAAAAATATATTGTCATTAGTTTGATGATACATGGCATATATAACAGTAACACCATAAACAGCTTCTGCTATGATTACTATTCCATACAGTACAGAGGACTGTATTAGTGCATTTTGAATTAATACATTTTGCTCTTTCCTCTTATAATAACAATAATACGGGATATTTTTGGAATATAAGACGCACCCTTAATTTGAAGGCAAAGTAAGGCTACAATTGTCAATCAGACATTTTAAAAATTAGTATAGTTCTAAAAAGAAGAAAAGAAGAGCTCAATTTACTAATGTTATAAATAACGCACTCAAATGAACTAAACAGTATATGTTTGTATAAATATATTTTGACATGACTTGTATATATATATATATATATATATATATATATATATATATATATATATATATGTGTGTGTGTGTGTGTGTGGACACTGAGGTCAACACCAAGCGGCGACAGTCTGTTTCATGCTTAAACGCAGCCTGTTTCATGCTTCAACGCAATTTGAAGGCTTGAAGATTGCTTTCAAGTATGAAATAGACTATAACCACTTGGTGTTGATCTCAGTGTCCATTTTTATGTTTACATACCCTCTTTTACGCATAAATATAGCATACTATAAATATAAAAGTATATTTTTATCATACTATTCATACCTTCGGTGTATAGGATGCACGTAGAATTGCGTCTTATACGCCGAAAAATATGGTAATTATTATAATTATAATTATTTACCGGTTTTCCAAATCATCAAATTGCTTGAATTTTACTCCAATCTTTTTTAAGAAACTTGCTTTGGGCAGGTATTTTGCTTTGAACCATTGTTGCCATTTTCCTATATGATACTTTGGCCCTTTGCTCATCCAAAGAAGTGCCCTGTACAATTCACAGCTGTCCGTAATTCCCAACACCATCAAAGCAAATTCATACAGATTTTCGACACTACTGATACGTGTATACAAAAACTTATTCTTGTCTTTGTACCAGTCAGCCTTTTTTACCTTTGCTTTATTTTTGTGTTGCTTTTTCGATTTTATTTTCATCAGATTCATCCGGATAATTCTTTCGTCAGTGAGAAAAAACTTCTTACGCGTTCTCGTATTCATTTTCTGGAACTTTAAGAACTTTTCACCTTCCAATATTTTCCCTGTATATAAAAAAGCCAACATTTAGAACTTCCAACATTTACAGCCTCCAATGACATAAAATCTAAACTGCAATAAAGCTAACACTCTTTGTTTGAAGAGTATCATTTTGATCAAGTGATTTCTACTTTTAGACTGTCCGCCATCTATTTTTTTATTTACAGTATTTATACATGGACTATTGTCTTAATCTTTGTTGCTCTTATCAAAACGTTTCGGCCGCTATGTCGATTCGCTAACCTACAAGAAATCTCTGCGGTTGACTGTTCTCATTGGAAAGATGGTTCACTGTGTCGTGACAGACAATTTTTCTCATCAGAATCCATCTAGCACATTTATAAATCTACCATTCATTCGTGTATTGAATATTGCTGCCATATCTAGTCTGGTGTTTCTACTATATATATCTCATGATTCCAAAGAAGAGTTTGTAATTTAATCGATCCTGACCTGGCATCTCGGCTTCAGTCACTTTCTCATGGACGTGACGAGGCTTCCCTGTGTCTTTTCTACTATATTTTTATGGCAAATAGTGTAAATAAAGAAATAGAAAGTTAACAGGGTGTCTAAATTTGGGTTTGTGGGTACTCTATAACAATTATAATATAATAAAGAAAAGGAATCTGTGGAGAGAAATGTTCGCCAACGTCATGAGGGATATAGCATTAAAAACAAGTCTTTATTTTTTATATTCAGTTTCTTTAAAAATTTTTACGGTTCCATAAAGGTCCCCAGCACAGTGATAATCTTATTATCGATTTATAAGTCAATAACTAGAGGGCTACTGTTGTGTGAAGCACTGATTTAGAATCACTTATGGTAAAAACCTAATGGTAAAGCGAAAATTAATTTTTTTTTTTTACATCCTGTTGTGTTGGTGAGACTTGCTTTTGGAAAACACACCAAACAGGATGTCATTTCTAATTTTAAGATAGAATTCTTTCTCTAGGTAATCATTCTTGTATTCCTGAGGGTGAAAATATCTAGAGCACGAGTAAAGATCAACATTATATATTCATACCTGAAAAAAATATTAAGATTCAATTTCTAACAGAGGCAAATGCAAGTCATTACAAAAAATAAAAATGAAAGGAGTTCGATGACAAACTTAAAATATTTCTCAGTGCATTTTTATATTCAGTTTCTTTAAAAAATTTTACGCATATTTTGTCCAAAAATTTTGATGTCAAAATCTGCCTATGCCTTATATACCAAAGGTATATATTCCACGCACAGGCACGAACACACAAACACACACACACACACACACACACACTGGGAAAGAAAAAATTAACCTTACACCAATGAAAATAGCATATAAAAAAAAAACGAAAAATATAAACAGTCAATTGCTGATATATCCCTGACGAGTGAACGGAGTGATTGTTGGAGGGTATGTCTACGAAACTCTAGAGTCGAAATGCTGAAGGTAATACCAATCAGCTATGTGACAAACTTTATATTTGTATTAATTAGGTTGAGCACTTTGGAAGAAAGGGAATTCGTCAGCTGCTGCTAATTAACAGCATATATATATATATATATATATATATATATATATATATATATATATATATATATTGGTTGATAGATGTGAGTTTGTGACCCTGGGTTTCACGCTTTAGCGATCGTCAGACAAACTCATACGTAATAAGTGCCGCGCATATAATATATAAATAATTATATATATATATATTTATTTATATTTATACACACACACATATATACATATATATATATATATATATATATATATATATATATATATATATATATATATATATAGTTTGTTAATTTGAATTTGTTATTTAAAAAATCGTATCGATTTCAAATATAAAATGCGCTTGACCAACCAGAGTGGTTAATGCAATCAGGGTCGGTAATCGCCTAATCAAAATTACAATTTCATTGGATACTTGGCAGCCTAGCACGGGCTTACTGTCAAGTTGGATGCGAATTTGATTCTTCCATGCTTTGTTTTAGTTTTTTCAACCCTTACAATGTCTAAAGAAAAGAGACTTATACGCAGCTAAGTTCTAATTGTGATTATTTATGCAAAACAAAATAGAAATAGAACTGACAAAAGATATTTTAGTCCTCCACGAACAGAAAAAAAAATTATTCGTTAATGGCGATTTTTAAGGCATCAGATTGAATCTTTTTATTTTTATTTTATTTTATTTATTTATTTTGCAAAACCTTTTTGTCAAATTAAGGTCTTATACACCTGTACGATTTATATTCTCCACACCCCGCCAAAAAAAAAAAAAAAAATGTTACTCTTTTTGGAAAGGCGTCAATTTAGCTACTGTAAAAGAGCGAATAAATGTCTTACTTACCCATCGTACTTAGTTTAATTTCAGTAGAAATGATTGGCATAAGAGTGTCCTCAGCGTCAGTCATCATGGAAAACATTTTTGCATTTCTTTCGCCTCTTTTTATGAATTCTTTTTCTATTTGTTTCTTTCGTTTTTGTTTTCTTTTTTTTTCCGCTTCATTTTCTTCTTCTTCTTCATCTTCTTCTTCTTCCTCCTCCTCCTCCTCCTCGTCATCGCCATCGTCATCGTACTCATTCGCATCATGCTTCTTCTTCTTCTTCATTTCCTTCTTCATCAACATCATTTCCACCTTTTTTCTCATTTCCTCCTCCTTCAATTCTATTTTCATCATTTCCGCCTTCTTCATTTCAACTTTCTTCTTTATTTCCTCCTCAACCTTCCTTTCTTCTTCCTGTCTTTCTCCAACACTTCCTGTTAAAAATCGTTCATTGATCTGCCGATTGATCAGTAATCGATCTCTACTAATTCGTTTCGATTCTTCATCGTACGATGAATGGCAACTCCCTAATGAAGACATACTCATTCCAAACTTGCTCTTAACTGCAATTTCCAACATGTCGCACTCTGATTCAATACTATCCTTAATATCTTGTGAATTTAAACAATAAAAGTGGGAGAGACTTATATTAATTATCTTTCTCTCAATTGGTGACGGTGTTCTAATTTCAGCTTTGGTAAGTATCATGGAATCTCCCTGCCTCTTCGAGAGTCTTTTTATAAGATCATGTCCTTCGAGCATGGAAAGATCAGACTGAGAAGTCAAATCTTTTACAGTTTCAATTGTAGAATCGGTTGGGGTAAATGTTGCTGAACTGAGTGGACGTTTCTCAAGATTTTTGCCATAATATGTGAATTCAATTCGTACAGTTTCAGGAGTAAATTCAAACTAAAGAAAAAAAAAATTAAAAAATGTGATTAACTGACCAATAACAAGAAAATCGCACTTTTTTGGTGAACATTTTAATCGCAAAATATTTACGAATACAGTTATGAATTCGAAACTTATTATATTTGTATAATTAATAGTTACTGTTATGCTGAAAAAAAGTATTTACAAAGAATGAATTATGTTCCTTTTTGTTTATCTATCCTATAAAAAATTGATGGCATATTTTGTTAAGACCTTATTATTATTAGGTCTTCACATGTGTATCTAAATATATTTATCAAATGATTATAGTGTGAAGGGGAGGGAACTTTGGCCATGTAAAAATATTCAACTCGTCCATGAATAACAAAGAAAGGAAAAGAAATTATATAAGTAAATACAAAATTTTATAATCCTGAAATAATTGGTGATTTACGATTTATTTTAAATGTTTTTCTTTGAAGATAGTTTTCGTACGATAAAAACAGAGT